CTTACGAATGCTGGTGTAAAGGGAATTGTTTATTAATCATGCATAGCAACTGTACAAACTGAAACCATACGCAATAAAAACAGGGAGATCTTGCAGAACAAAGGCTGTTTTTGCCGTTATTACCTAGTGTATAGACTTGTGCATTTTTGTGTGTGAGCACTCAGAAGATGCAACTATTATCAGATGTTGCACATAAATATAGGCTGGTGGAAATCACTTTAAATTTGCTTAGGGGACACTTATAATACGATAATACGAAACGATAATCTTTATTGTCATTGTCCCATACAGAACAACAAAACTTGTAGTGAGCTGTTTGTGAAGCAGACACTATATGCAGCAATATTTGCTAGCTCTTGCAATAGTCCCAGGTCACCGCAAACTCATGGGCCACATGGACTTGCATGTTCTTGTTGAGGACTGTACACTTTCTAATGGTATAGTACAGTGGTTCATTAAAGTGCTGGAAACACTTTCCAATGAGCTACATGTTCAAGGGTGCACCCTCAGTTCATGCGGGGGCACAACTGGGCTACATCCTTGCCCATTGTGAACTGAGAGCATGACCTCAAACAACCTTAGGTCCCCAGGTCATTGGCCAGGCTAGCTGGGGGTATCTGGAGTCTGAGCCCAGCAAGGTCTGGGGCCCCAAAGCTGGAGCAGTGCATATCAGGGAAGTTCGGTAGCGGTGCCCCTGCTGTCTTTTTCAGGAAACCTATTTGCTGTCATTCATCAAAAAAACTTTTCATGAGCTTCTGAGTAGCTCCAGGAATTCCCAGTGCACAGCCTGAAAGCCACTGCTGCACAGGAAAGGAATCTCAACAGGAAATGAGCAGCGAAACCAGATCACATGGCTGAATCAAGAAATTCAGTTCTATCACCTGTGTACTGAAAGAAAATAATGGGTTTTTACCCTAAAATGTGGGTTAGTTTCCCAGTGGTGTACTCAGCACTCCTTTAAGAATCATCATTGTAAGATTTTAATACATTTGAGCTTTAACAAAATAAAATTACACTCTAAACTCACTGTTTACAATCAATCTCTCTCTCTCACACACACACACACACAAAACCATGTATATCTACCTGCCAACTTAAGATAACACTTCCTGTATCTGATGATACAGGACTCTAGTCCACGAAAGCTCACGCCTGCAGCAGACAAATACAGCTTCCCTAATGAAAATTGGGGAGTAGAAAACGACAGTTTCACATAATTTAATGTGAACCACCTAGCACGGCTTTTGCAAAGGTTTGCCTAAGGGTAGTTCCAATTGCCTGAGCATGCCGTGATGCTCTAATTCAGCATGCCAAATTCCCTTAGTGCTCACAAAAGCCAGTTCCCCTTGCAGAGCTTGTAAAAAAAGCACTTGTCTGGGAATGAATGAGATTGCAATGGCATAAATGGGAGAGCAGAATTAAAAGTGCCGACTTTTCCTTGTCCAGCAAAGCATGTTGTGAATGGAAGGCCATTAATAGCCTTTTATGCAATATCTGCCTTCCCACTGCAAGCTGCAGTTTTCCAGCAAAGCAATTCTTGGACATGGAATGTTACATGTGGTGTCTTGTTTCTGCCGGTGGCCTTGAGCTTTTCGCGCATCTCTGGTGAACAGCTCTATTGTTTGTTCAGTAACGAGTAATTTGGGGTCAGTGAAATGTTTAGAACGTCAAACTCTTCCATTGCCCATCACTGGCAAATCCAGATTTCTGTATGTGTCCATTTTTCCTTCTGTCTTTACACTTGCAAGTTTTCAGCTTTAAGCAACTTCAGGCAGCGATATTCATGTGCATCTGTTTCTAAAGTGAGGCGCCCATGTCTGGATATGGAAAACAGATGAACCCAGAATTAAATCAGGGATGGAGAACCTTTTTTCAGAGAGAGGACCACATTCCTTTCTGAGCAACCTTGTAAGGGCCAGCGGCCAGTGATGGGTGGGGTCAGAAGCGAAGGTGAGCAGAGCAGCATATGTGTGCAATGAATATTAAGTTATTACTTATTAAATTTATATACCACCCTTTATCAAGGGACCACAGGGCGGCTTACCTGGGCCCCCAGGTCTTCATCTGGGGCCCTCAGAGCGCCCCTCCAAAGAACGTTCAGCGAGTGACAACAAGGGCAGGGCCTTTTCAGTTGTGGCTTCCTATCTGTGGAATGCCTTCCCAAGCCTGTCGCCAGGATCCTTTCCACACCAGATGAAAGGGGAAATCTCTCTTCTCCCAGGCATCTGAAGGATTGTCACGTTGCTCGATGATACGTCTTGCTTCTGACTTTATTTTTGCTGCTGCTGTTTTGCTGGGTCTGTTCCATGGGTCTTTGTATGGTTTTTATTGCAATGTGATGTTCTTTTTTTCCAGATATGTCATGCTTTATGTCAGTTGCTTAAGAAAGCTGTACTGGGATGCAATCTCAAAAATGACAGAATGATCTCGATACGAATCCAAGGCAGACCTTTTAACATCACAGTAATCCAAGTTTATGCACCAACTACTGGTGCTGAAGAAACTGAAATTGACCAATTCTATGAAGACTTACAAGACCTTATAGAAATGACACCAAAGAAGGATGTTCTGCTCATTATAGGGGATTGGAATGCTAAAGTAGGGAATCAAGAGATAAAAGGAACAACTGGCAAGTTTGGCCTTGGAGTTCAAAACGAAGCAGGGCAAAGGCTAATAGAGTTCTGTCAAGAGAACAAGCTGGTCATCACAAACACGCTTTTCCAACAACACAAGAGACGACTCTACACATGGACATCACCAGATGGGCAGCATCAAAATCAGATTGATTATATTCTCTGCAGCCAAAGATGGAGAAGCTCTATACAGTCAGCAAAAACAAGACCTGGAGCTGACTGTGGCTCAGATCATCAGCTTCTTATAGCAAAATTCAAGCTTAAACTGAAGAAAGTAGGGAAAACCACTGGGCTGGTCAGATACAATCTAAGTCAAATCCCTTATGAATACACAGTGGAAGTGAGGAACAGGTTTAAGGATTTAGATTTGGTGGACAGAGTGCCTGAAGAACTATGGATGGAGGCTCGTAACATTATACAAGAGGCAGCAACTAAAACCATCCCAATGAAAAGGAAATGCAAGAAAGCAAAGTGGCTGTCCAACGAGGCCTTACAAATAGCGGGGGAGAGAAGGCAAGCAAAATGCGAGGGAGATAGTGAAAGATACAGGAAATTGAATGCAGATTTCCAAAAAATAGCAAGGAGAGACAAGAAGGCCTTCTTAAACGAGCAATGCAAAGAAATAGAGGAAAACAATAGAATGGGAAGAACCAGAGATCTGTTCAAGAAAATTGGAGATATGAAAGGAACATTTTGTACAAAGATTTCCATAATAAAAGACAAAAGTGGAAAGGACCTAACAGAAGCAGAAGACATCAAGAAGAGGTGGCAAGAATACACAGAGGAACTATACCAGAAAGAAATTGATGTCTCGTATACCCCAGGTAGTGTGGTTGCTGACCTTGAGCCAGACATCCTGGAAAGTGAAGTCAAATGGGCCTTAGAAAGCATCGCTAATAACAAGGCCAGTGGAAGTGATGATATTCCATCTGAATTATTTAAAATTTTAAAAGATGATGCTGTTAAGGTGCTACACTCAATATGCCAGCAAATTTGGAAAACTCAGCAGTGGCCAGAAGATTGGAGAAGATCAGTCTACATCCCAATCCCAAAGAAGGGAAGTGCCAAAGAATGCTCCAACTACCGCACAATTGCACTTATTTCACACGCTAGCAAGGTTATGCTTAAAATTCTACAAGGCAGGCTTAAGCAGTATGTGGACCGAGAACTCCCAGAAGTGCAAGCTGGATTTAGAAGAGGCAGAGGAACCAGAGACCAAATTGCAAACATGCGCTGGATTATGGAGAAAGCTAGAGAGTTCCAGAAAGACATCTACTTCTGCTTCATTGACTATGCAAAAGCCTTTGACTGTGTTGACCACAGCAAACTATGGCAAGTTCTTAAAGAAATGGGAGTGCCTGATCACCTCATCTGTCTGCTGAGAAATCTCTATGTGGGACAAGAAGCTACAGCTAGAACTGGATATGGAACAACTGATTGGTTCAAAATTGGGAAAGGAGTACGACAAGGCTGTATATTGTCCCCCTGCTTATTTAACTTATATGCAGAATTCATCATGCGAAAGGCTGGGCTGGATGAATCCCAAGCCGGAATTAAGATCGCCGGAAGAAATATCAACAACCTCAGATATGCAGATGACACAACCTTGATGGCAGAAAGTGAGGAGGAATTAAAGAACCTTTTAATGAGGGTGAAAGAGGAGAGCGCAAAATATGGTCTGAAGCTCAACATCAAAAAAACGAAGATCATGGCCACTGGTCCCATCACCTCCTGGCAAATAGAAGGGGAAGAAATGGAGGCAGTGAGAGATTTTATTTTCTTGGGCTCCATGATCACTGCAGATGGTGACAGCAGTCACGAAATTAAAAGACGCCTGCTCCTTGGGAGAAAGGCGATGGCAAATCTAGACAACATCTTAAAAAGTAGAGACATCACCTTACCAACAAAGGTCCGTATAGTTAAAGCCATGGTTTTCCCAGTAGTGATGTATGGAAGTGAGAGCTGGACCATAAAGAAGGCTGATCGCCGAAGAATTGATGCTTTTGAATTATGGTGCTGGAGGAGACTCTTGAGAGTCCCATGGACTGCAAGAAGATCAAACGCATCCATTCTTAAGGAAATCAGACCTGAGTGCTCACTGGAAGGACAGATCATGAAGTTGAGGCTCCAATACTTTGGCCACCTCATGAGAAGAGAAGACTCCCTGGAAAAGACCCTGATGTTGGGAAAGATGGAGGGGACAAGGAGAAGGGGACGACAGAGGATGAGATGGTTGGATAGTGTTCTCGAAGCTACAAACATGAGCCTGACCAAACTGCGGGAGGCGGTGGAAGACAGGAGTGCCTGGCGTGTTCTGGTCCATGGGGTCACGAAGAGTCGGACACGACTAAACAACTAAACAACAACAACAACAACAACAACATGTAGCAAGTGCAATGCAAATCGAATAAATAATAATAATTTCTCAACGCACAGATGGCTTTCTCGAAAGAAATTCGGTTGAGCATTCCGAAAGGAAAAGACTGCTTTGGAGAGATGATATTGCAGTGAAGCAGCCTTTGCCATCCTGGTGTCCTCCAGGTGCAGGGATGGGGGAGCCTCCAGCACAGGGGGCAACTGTGGCCCTCCAGACCTCTCTGTTTGGCCCTTGAGACTTTCTAGACCACTCCCCTCTCTAGTCACACCCCTCACTGGTCCTTGAAGGTTCTTGTCTGGCTGGAATGTCCCCCTCAATTATAATAATGCCCTTTGAATGCCTGGGTGGAAGATAGAGAGGGGGTGCACAACTGTGTGTAGAAACTACCCTACTGTACAAAGATGAATTTAGCATTCGTTGTCCCACCCCTGTTTGTACGTGGCCCTCTGATGGCAAAGGTTCCCCGGCCCTGCTCTCGAGGATGCCAGCTAGCGAAGGCTGCAATGCTCCCTTTTATTTCATCCAGCGTTCGCCTAGCCTAAGCACACCTTCGTAAGTAAAGAACACCATCATATTTGCAGGGAAAGCGCGGATGGAGTTTAGTCCGAGGCCTTTGAAGAGGACTCTCACCCCCTCTTCTCTTACGCTGTCCCTCACGCAGTGTACTAATCCGGAGTATCTGCGCAGGCCCTCGCCATCCACCTGCATCCGGGATTTGATGACATCCATCGGGGTGGCCGTGCCCCAGGCCAGGACTCCAGCGCAGCCTCCAGAAAGAAGCACAGCCCATAAGTCTGCAAAACGTAATTATAAGCAGCGTTAAACTGACAGCGAGATAGGTTTGCAGAGGAGAAATGGGGACTGCTCTTTAATTAGAATGCAGAATGTTGACACACGTTTTGATTTAGTAATTTTTTGGACATTTGAAATAGTTTTTATTTATTATTATCACTTATTAAATTTCTTAGCCGCTTTATCTTGCCTGTGGCAACCCAAAGTGACTTACAAACAAAAAAACCCCAATAAGTACATTAAAACTAATTGTGGGTGGGAGAAACTCCCTGGCTTGCCCTTGGGACTGCAGCTGCTAATAGACATGCTAATTTCAATGGGTCTACTCTTGAGTATAACTTAGCTAGCTATGCCCTCTTAAGTACTGGTATTATTATTGTCTTCCAGATCAGCAGTGGGCAGACTTAAGTCTTGTGAGGTCTACTCTTTTCAGCCCCCAGAATATCAAGGTCTCCCAGATTGAACCAGATGCCAAATCGTGGCTAATCCACTTTCTGCTGCCCCTGGCCAAGTTCCTTATCCTGACTCAAGTCCTACCTAAGGCTAGTTCCCACAAGCAGCAGATAAGATGATAAGGCACTACTGTGGAGTAATAGGCAGAGAGGTTGATGGCCATGAGAGAGGCCTAATTTATGCAGGGCAGTTGCTTCCAATCAGCACTAAACTATGGAAGGAAGACTGTAAGAAGATACTTTGCAAGTATCTCATATTGGGATTAAGCACACAGAGAAATCTGCTAATGAGCTTCGAGAGCAGATATCCCCTGATGGAATTATATGTCTTGCTGCCTCTTTGACCTGCACTCCATAGTCCATGCACAAGATTCTTGACATACCTTCTGTGAAACATCAGGCAGGCCTTTCTTAAGAGGCTCTGCTTTCTGAAGCTTCCCCTTTCTCCGTCATCCGGGACAAGTGGATTCCCTTTCTCTTCAAATCCTAATTAAATTTGATCGAGCGGTCATCTAGCTGGCCGCTGAAAGGTTCCAAATACGTTTACATCCCTTCAGCTTTCCCAGATCGAAGGCTGACTACACTCCATATATTTAAAGCACATGGCTTCTCCCAGAGCTTCCTGGAAACTGTAGTTTACCCCTCACAGAGCTACCATTCCCACCACCCTTTACAAAGTGCATTGCTTTAAATGTATGGTGTGTACACAGCCTTGGTCTCTACAGCTTGGTTAAACCAGGTTACATGATTAAATCAGTCGGTTGCGCAATCCATACGCAACATTTACGGGAATCTCCGTGTGAGAGCCAGACTTAAACCACAGAGCCTAGGGCTTGCCGATCAGAAGGTCGGCGGTTCGAATCCCCGCAACGGGGTGAGCTCCGTCCCTTACTCCGTTCCCTGCTCCTGCCAACCTAGCAGTTCGAAAGCACATCAAAGTGCAAGTAGATAAATAGGTACCGCTCCGGCGGGAAGATAAACAGCGTTTCTGTGCACTGCTCTGGTTCGCCAGAAGCGGCTTAGTCATGCTGGCCACATGACCCAGAAGCTGTATGCCAGCTCCCTCGGCCAATAAAGCGAGATGAGGGCTGCAACCCCAGAGTCGGCCACGACTGGACCTAATGGTCAGGGGTCCCTTTACCTTTACCTAAAGCAATCTATGGCCTTTTAAACTGGGGCGGCGGGGTTTGTTTGTTATTACCGGTGCTTTTTGCTGGGGGTACTCAAGGGGTACACAGAACTGGCATCTTTTCTTTCTTAGAAGAAAAGCCCTGGTTTAAAGTGTGGCACTTGGCATGAAGTTGTTACAGTGAGTACCAGAACCTTTTTTCTTAGAAGCATTTGCCACTGCTTCCCAATGAGGCAGGAAATTGGGGTGGGACACAGTGAATGCGCAATGACTTTCCCTTGCACAATGAGGCTTGCCACTCCTTCCTCACACCCTGCCTCCCCTGCAAAAAATCACAAAAACTTGTTCTGGAGATCCCCCGAACTAGCACACAGGGAGAGGAGAGGGGAGATTGTTCCACCAGGCAAGCAGAAACTGATCATTTGTAGCAGTGCAACCTTGAATTCCTCCCTATGTTTGTAGCTGTGCACTCTTCCTGTTCCATGTGTCAGCACAAATATTCAGCACAAATAAAAATATGGGATGCGGGTGGCGCTGTGGGTTAAACCACAGAGCCTAGGACTTGCCAATCAGAAGGTTGGCGGTTCGAATCCCCGCAACGGGGTGAGCTCCCGTTGCTCGGTCCCTGCTCCTGCCAACCTAGCAGTTCGAAAGCACCTCAAAGTGCAAGTAGATAAATAGGTACCGCTCTGGTGGGAAGGTAAACGGCGTTTCCGTGCGCTGCTCTGGTTTGCCAGAAGCGGCTTAGTCATGCTGGCCACATGACCCAGAAGCTGTACACCCGCTCCCTCGGCCAATAAAGCGAGATGAGGGCCGCAACCCCAGAGTCGGCCACGACTGGCCCTAATGGTCAGGGGTCCCTTTACCTTTACTATATTATAAAATAAAAACCCATATGCATGAACAAGCTATCCTATTTCCTCTGACTAACCTCCTAGATAGACTGTATAAATTGTGGGAGGAACACAGAGGGAATGGAACTCCCCCCCCTACCCCACAGGGATTATTTGTGTGGGGAGGGAGGCTGACTGATGTTCTGAACATGTTCTGTATTTTTGCATTGAACAATTGCTAATTCTTCAGTTTCTTTTTCCTAAAGTCAGGTCCACCTGTGACTGTGATACAACTCATTGCAGTAATATTGACTGAGATCGTTTATGGCTTTATTATTTCCCCATTTAATAAGATGTAAAAATGTGCCTGAAATACTTGAGACATTTGTCATGCTCTGGCCCCCCACCCCGGCCCAGGCACCTGTGAAAACGCTTCCAGGGTCGCTGGCCTCTCCTCTCCCTTCCTCCTTCCCTACACGTTGCATGAGATGGGCTATCATGCCTCTGGGATTAGTGAAGAGCTAAAAATAAAATCCATTTCATCATTTAGAAGGTGCACCCTACACCCGAGCTGTATAGGCTTTAGCGATGCATTTGAAAGGTGTAGTTAGCCGGCATGACTGTAGTTAATAAGCATTCGAGGGGGAAGTTGGAGAGGAAGAGTTCGTGGATGACATCAGAGGACGCGGCCTCTGAGTTAACCAGTTACACAAGAGAAGCTCAAATAGAATTTCATAACAGGTGCATATTACACAACTGGAGCAAATTGTGCCAATGGTCATACTCTGTTCTAATCATTCCCATCTATTTTCCGGTTTGAGTGCCGCTGCTTACGTAGCCAAAACAGCAGCAGCAGCGCCTATGTGCAAGAGGGAGGTGTCAACATCCAGCTTCCCCCGTTTGCTTCAGGCATGCAAACCCCAAGGGGTTACAGAACGGGAGAGAGAGGACTTGACACTAGAACTTGGCGGCATCCAAAGAAGCTATAGGCTGGGGAAAACACAAGAACTACCAACAATTGAAGAATGGCAGATGAGGATGATAGAATTTATGGAGCTGACTCTTCTTCTTCTTCATCATCTCACTGGGAGAATCCGCGACCAGAAAGAAGAGGAACATCAAGAAGATTGGAAGAACTTTAAAGACCATTTGAATAAATATTGTAATATTAAAGATATGTAATCACTTGAAAGAATCAATTAGGCCTAGGATTAAATTGGGATTAAATTTATAAGTAAGAAAATGCATGATAAGGAAAGTGATGTAAATGATTATGACTGTGATTTGGTTTTTTGAAATATTGATATTGGAAACTGCTACAGATAATTACTAAGAAATTCAGACGGAAGAGACTCGAGGAAGTCAAATACTATGTTTATGAAGATGGATGGTACTTAATTGTAATTAATTAAGTGGCATTACGCTGTATTGTATGTTCTTATCTTTTTCCTTTTTCCTATCTTTTTTGTTTTATCTTTTTTTTTGTTACTGTTAATTCTTTTGTATTATGCTTATTTACTGAAAATAATAAATATTATTTGGGGGGAGGGAGGGAGAAACTATAGGCTGGGAGATTTGGGGCAGACAAAATAAAGGGCTTTCTCCCACAGCACAAACTATGGAACTTTCTCCCACAGAATGTCCACCAACAGGATGGTTTTAAAAGAGCATTGGGCAAATTCACGGAGCAGGCAGCTATCAATGGCTGCTAGCCATGATAACTCAGTGCCAGGAACAAACACTCTATACGAAAGTTGCAGAATTGTGGTGACTCCAATGCAGAAGCTATGAAGACAGGTTTTTCAAAACTCCTGAAACAAGCCCTTCTCATTTAATGCACACACCTGCTCTGTCTTTTCCCGCTGGAGTAAGCCAGTCGCACAGGACATTGTAGGTGAGGAAATAGACGACGGATGAGCAGCAGTCTCTCCACATCAGAGCCAAAGACCCCTTGTATAGACCCCTGAAACCTTCCTCCTTCACGACGGTCCGCAGGCAGTGCACAGCTCCTTGGTACTTAGGCTTGGAGATCAGGACGTGGGGTGGAATAGCCAAGGGATCTTTCTGGATCTGTAGTCTCACTTTGGCCAACTCTGCAGGTGACATTAGCACAACCTGAGGGGTGTAATTAGGAATTAGTGGTCTAGAAAGAGATGTTTCCTGTAGAAGCTCATCACCCACACATCCCCAGACCAGACCATCAAGATACAGAGCCTGGGGTCCAAAATCATGTATTATGGGGTGCCCAAACTTTTTTTTAAAGAGGGCCAGATTTGATGAAGTGTGAGGGCCACCCAAAGTTGTTGAGCTTTTTTAAGGACTTAACCCCGAAGCTGTTGAGATTTTTTTAGGATTGAAGTTGTTGAGCTTTTTTTACAATGCTGAGGTTTTTACCCCAGGACATATACTGCCAGGGGGCTGGATTAAATCAACTGGCGGGCCATATTAGGCCCCTGAAACAGACTTTGGACGTCCCTGCCTTATTGTATATAGATCAGAGGTTTCGCTGCAAGAGCCTAACATGCATAGTCTTCTGGAAACTAATTACACGAGTAATACTATCTTGTTATTATTTATAAAATTTATATGCCACCCTTCATCCAAAGATCACAGGACGGTTTGCAACATTAAAATACACAATGAAAACACAAAAGTACATAACAAAATGATGAGGGACAGATGATATAACACAGATGTTTTCCACAAGGATCACTTTTGATAATCAAGAAACTTCAGTGTTTTAAGTATAACACGTTACATGAACACCATTGTTGGTCTGTACCAGGAGAAGGCAATGCTGGTGCTCTTCAAACGTTGTTGGACTACAATTCCCCTCATTTGTGAGCACTGGTTGGTGCTCAATAACTAGAAGGCACCACTTTAGCTACTTCTACATAGCAGAATCTGCCCCGGCTGCAGCAAAACATGCCTCTCCCATATCTGTCTCTATAGCCACACCAATAGTTTGACTTCATCCCCAAAGGCGCACTCCTCCATTGTCTCCCAGGACAGACAGGTGCCAACCCTATTCCACTTTAACCTTTATGATTTCCCCCAAACAATCCTGGGAACTGTAGTTTGTTAAGGATCTCCTAACAACTCCCAGCAGCCACAACAAGCTACAGTTCCCAGGGTTCTTTGGGAGAAGGCATGACTGTTAAAGTGGAATAAGAGTGCTTTACCAGGACACCCCGAAGACCAAAAACGCCAAAATTAATTGATTGACTTGCCCTTTTTTTTAATTGATTGTATTGCACATGTACATAAATTAAAATGCACAAATTTAAACCCCCCCAAAAAAGAAAGAAAATACAAAAACTTATGTAGAGAGAGCAAAAAAGAAAAGAATAAAAGCAGAAACTCCAGAAAGGAAGGAGGAAGGGATATAAATATATGCCTTCCGTAAGTACATTTAAATCTTAAACATTATTTTACTCGTAACCTACCCGGATTGCACCAGTAGCAGCTGCCGCAAAAGACACGTCTACCTTTGATGGCTTTGTGTCTGCAGAGCCATATCGAAATCTGCAGATGTTATAAAGGATGTTTTTGTAGATGCCAAAAGAGAACGATGTAATAAACGATGCAGTTATGACAGTCATCGACACCCCTCGGTAGAAACCCAGCACCTGGTTTGCATAGAAAAGTGAGAAGAAAGTGTTAACCAAGCTAATCTTACCTAACCTTCCCAAGTCTCCATAATATGAAAGTCACAGCAGCTGGTTTTTCTCTTTGGCTTTCTGGTAATATGGAAATTAATTATAATAGAATAAAGGACACCTCACAGTCTGTCTTAAGGTTTGGTACTAATCGAGGAAAAGGAGGTGATAGTTCTGTCGGTAGAGAATTAGTCTCTTAATCTGAAGGTTGTGGGTTCAAGCCCCACGTTGGGTGAAAGATTCCTGCATTGTTGGACTAGATCAGTGTTTCCCAAACTTGGGTCTCCAGCTGTTTTTGGACTACAACTCCCATTATCCCTAGCTAGCAGGACCAGTGATCAAGGATGATGGGAACTGTAGTCCAAAATCAGATGGAGACCCAAGTCTGGGAAACACTGGATTAGATCCTCATGGTCCCTTCCAACTCTACAATTCTATGAAACCTCTAGGTCAGGGATGTGTAACCTGTGGCCCTTCAGATATTGTTGGACTCCAAATCCCATCAATTCCAGCCATGATGGGAGTGGGAGTGTAGCAACACCTGGAGGATACCAGAGGATACCAGTCCTGTTCTAGGTGCTTACAAGGCCCAATGCACCCAGAATCAGGTTCTTGTTCACAGGTATTCTTAAACACAACCAACCTTAGCCTTAGGGCCAAACCCTAACCCTTGATGCAGTTAGCAATTGCACAAAGGGGTTTTTAGAATTCAGGATTCGGGACCAAATCCAGATTGAAACATCGGTGTGGGAAATGGATTTTTAACCTCTTGACCTCCCCCCATGCTACATCCCTGAACTGGACTGAGAGTCTCTTATTTGCACTGGCGGCAGGTGGAAAGCTCTCATTTGCTGAAACAGATGTGCGGGGAGCAATCTGCTTCAGGACTGCTGCAGAGGGCAAAGTGTTAAAAATCCCTTCCCTCATTTTCCACCCAACCCATGTTTGCAATTAACTTCTTATTCAGCCATTCACACAACTGTGTGAAATATGCCGTGTTAGGCCACAATAGCTCTGTCCCAGAGTCATTGTAATAAAGCCATTCCTTAATGTTGGACAGACTGTGGGTTTTTCTCCTAAGAACTGTAGTTTGCCACATCAACCTACAATTCCCAGCACCCTTAACAAACCACAGCTCCCAGGTTTCTTTGGAGCAAGTCATTTGCTTTAAATGCAAATTAAATATGTTTTTAAATGTATGGTGTGGATCCGCCCCAAGTCAAGCAGACATAATGAAGAAAATTTCCCCTTCATCAACAGGAATTTTACCATACGTACTTTTTCAGTTCTGTATGTGTCTCTGATACAGTGCCATATTCCACGATAACTTGTCTGAGTCTGAATCCTCACCTGTTAAACGGGACAATCCGTCATTCATTTCATCTTGGGGGAAAGAAACATTTCATTGGTAATTTTGCAAGTGGGTAGGGGCATCAAATCAGCACGAAAAGTGAATTTATTGCACTAGGGCAGGGATCAGCAACCTTTTTCAGTTTTGGGGCGGTCCACCATCCCTCAGAACATGTGGTGGGCCAGACTATATGGAGGGGGGGAATGAACAAATTCCTATGCCCCACAAATAACCCAGAGATGCATTTTAAATAAAAGGACACATTCTACTCATGTAAAAACACACTGATTCCCGGACCGTCCGCGGGCTGGATTGAGAAGGCGATTGGGCCGCATCCAGCCCCCGGGCCTTAGGTTGCCTACCCCTGCACTAGGGCGACAGAATGCTTTAATCCATTGCGCAAAGCTGAATTTATAGTATGTGCTTGAATCTCTCCCACAAAAGAGGGACAAGATTGGAGGCACCTACAGATCTCACAATGCAATTTCTAGTTTGGTCCTGAGAGTATGGTGAAAGGATTGGGAGAAACTATGGTTTGCCTCCTGGCAAACCATAGTTTATGAGCTGTTGGGTAGAGAAACCACTGCAGTGGTGAGAACCGCCTCACACACTCATCCTAGCTGCTTTCAGCTCTGAAACGGGGTGGAGAAGAGTTCTCTCCATTTCACCTTGTGACTTGGGAGATTTGATTGTAGTTAAGAAAACTAAACTTTGAAATACCTTGATTGTGTCCAATGGATATCCGACTGCAGCACTAACACCACCTGAAACAGTTAAATTGTAAGTTAAATTTTTAAAATTAAAAATTGCACCTTAGAGACCAACTGAGTTTGTTCTGGGTATAAGCATTTGTGTACATGCACACTTCTTCAGATAGAGTGGTGCCTCGCAAGACGAAAATAATCCGTTCTGCGAGTCTCTTCGTCTAGCAGTTTTTTCGTCTTGCGAAGCAACCCTATTAGCGGATTAGCGGATTAGCGCTATTAGCGGTTTAGCGGCTATTAAAGGCTTAGCGGCTTAGTGGCTAAAAGGCTATTAGCGGCTTAGCGGCTTAGAAAAGGGGGGGGGAGCGGGGAAAAATCGCAAGACTCGCAAGACGTTTTCGTCTTGCGAAGCAAGCCCATAGGGAAAATCGTCTTGCGAAGCAACTCAAAAGCGGAAAACCCTTTCGTCTAGCGGGTTTTTCGTCTTGCGAGGCATTCGTCTTGCGGGGCACCACTGTACACTGAAACAGACATCACCAGACACTTATATATTGGGGGGGCGGTTCTCAGGAGGGTAGTAGGAGATGGGTGATTGACTCCATGGGTATGGTAAACCTGTTGATGACTGTTATCAACTGCAAGTCCTACAGGAAAAAGGAAGGGATAGTATGCAGATGACCAATAATAGCTTTAGCATACATAATGAGACAAGAATCCAATATCTCTATTCAGACCAGGTCTTTCCATAGTTTTCAGTTTAGTATAGGTAAAGGGACCCCTGACCATTAGGTCCAGTCGCAGACGACTCTGGGGTTGTGCGCTCATTTCACTCTATAGGCCAAGGGAGCTGACGTTTGTCCGCAGACAGCTTCCGGGTCATGTGGCCAGCATGACTAAGTTGCTTCTGGCGAACCAGAACAGCACATGGAAATGCTGTTTACCTTCCTGCTGGAGCGGTACCTATTTATCTACTTGTACAACACCATGTAGATGTGACTTAAAACACAAATGGGGAAGGGGAGATTACCTCATGGCATTTTAACCTGCTAATGTAAACATACCGTTACTTGCAAGTAGCACCTTGCAAAGTATAGAATTGCACCATTAACTAAGGTTACCAGGCACAGTCCCCGGATTTACAAATTCCCAGGGACAGTCCCCGGATTTACAAATCAGTCCCCATACAAAATCCATTGAAGTTGAAAAGTGTCCCCGGATTCATTGAAAAAAATCTGGTAACCTTACCATTAACCTTGTCAAGCAGTTCTGCACATGGTCCACCCTTGTAATTCTACCCCACCTCCAAAACAAAACAAAAAATATACTCTGAAATTGGAGGTTGTAGATCAGCATCCCTGATCACTGGCCATGCTGGCTGGGACTGGTGGGAATTATCGTGCAAAACATCTGGGGGCGTCAGGTTGGGGAAGGCTGCTGAATGAGGGCCTGGGCATTCAGATCTCTCCACCACACCACAATGTGCATAGTTCATGTTGTACAACAAACACCACAAGTACAATAAAGGGTGTGTTGGTATGCAGTCTTTCAACCCATAAACTGGTATAGCCAGGTTTTGAGAATTGTGTCTACTAAGCTCATAGCTTATAGCATTGAAATGGATAAGGTTGATTGGCACATATAAAGAATGGTAACAGTGCACATTCTTTGTACTTCCTTAGCAACAAATGCTATCGCTATACATATTTACAAGAATACAAAGATGTTTATGTGGTTGTTTGGTAGGAAATTGCCTTTCCACATAGAACATTCAAAGATTCAAATACATACCATTTTAGAGAGAACTATACATAAATAAAGGGAGGGGGATGTGAAATATTATATATGTTTACTTGGAGGAGGAAGAAACCAAACCGATCATTGTACAAAAGAGAAATATTAAGGGTGGTATCCAGTGATGGTCTACCCAATTGCGCAACTGAAATCCATTCAGTTGCACAAGTCGACTTCTAGTCAGGGGTGGCCCAAGACATTTTTACACCTGAGGCGAACCACAAAATGGCACCTGCCTCCCCACCAGGGAAGGAGTGAGTGAAGATTACATCAGGGACAAGGTGGAGAATAAAGATCTACATTGGGATCTGCTGCCTCTGTGGGTCCTGCCACCTAAGGTGGTTGCCTCACTTTGCCTCATGCGTGGGCCGGCCCTGTTTCTCATTTCTCTTCTCTCCACACACACACACACACCCAGCAAAATTTGTTCCAGGTGAATCCCCCAACCTTCCAGAGCAGATTGAGGGAGCTTTAGGGAAAGAGCTGCAGGAAAGAGGAGAGGAAAGATAAGCCTAGTTTTGCAACTTCTGGATCAGGCAGGTCTAGTGAAAGCATCCCATTCTCACAGTGGCCAACCATATGCCTATATGAAGCCTGAAAGCAGGACCTGACCACAATAACACTCTCTCTATGTGTGATTCCCAGCAATTCAGGAGCATCCTGTCTCTGACAGGTGAGGCAGAGCATAGCAATTGTGGCTGGTATTTATTGATTTCTCCCTGTACATTTTGCTGCATATTATAGCCTTCTGATATAGTGAAGACTACAGCACTGACAAGGCAAAAAAAATCAAGCTGGACAAAAATACAAACAGCTTTCCTAATAGGCTTGTTTATGTGGAAAGCAGCAAAGTTAATAAACTGACTACTGTTCTTACAGAGAAGAGAATATTGCTGCACCAACAATCTCAGAAAATTGTGAAGGACCATAGGGATAATTATAATGTAAATACAAACCTCAGGTGTGGTTATGCTTCTCATGTGGTTAGGTTTTTGCAAGCTGCTTTTCATCCAGACATCTGTACCCACATTTTACTCTACAACCGGTTTCTTGTTATGAGTTTGTGGGTGCCGGCCTCCCCTAAATTCCTGGGTCGAGTAGGTGTTAGTATTTAATCAAGGCTTGGGGAGTTAACATGGATGCTAGAGTTCTAATTCCTCGACCCAGCTTCCCATGTTCAGGAGATCACCTGGGAGATGGGCCATTGAGAGAACAAAGGAAAGGTATTGGGCCATTAAGAAAGCGAAGGAGAGGAGGCAAATGGGTGGGGCCCCTACTTCAGCTCTAAGATAGAAGATAAAGACAAAGCTTGAGGTAGACCTTAAGAGTAAAGACAACAAGCTGAAGACAAGATCAGAGTACGGTGGTTTATTTCTGTTTGAATCTAAAGCTGTCGTAATCGGAGAATCAAAACTCTCTTGGGGTGTTAATGCTGTGAACCCCTGCACTGTAGGCTCAGGTTGTATCTATGTGTAAATAAACCATATATCATAAAGACACCACAGTCTCCACTGTGCCTCATTTCCAAAAAGAAAAACGAACCCAAGGTGAACACCAGGAACCCCTGGAATCTCCCACCACTCGGAGATTGGGGCGACATGCAACATAGTGCTTGCAGTTCACATTAACCTGCACTTCCAAATGCACAGTCTGCACTCATGTGCTTCGTGGTACTTTGCATACATTCTTGGGTCACCAAAGGTAGGTGCCTGAAGCTGTTCAGGGCCCTACCCAGTCCACGGGCCAGAACCATAAGGTATTAGGATCCTGCTAAAGTAATGCAATGCTTGCTTCCACCCTAGTTGTTCCTAGGTGACCACTGAACATGCTCAGTCCTCATTGGGCTGTTTGTGGGGTGGAGTTGTCCCCTTGGCTGCTCCCCACCTACTTCTGCATATCTTGGGATTCATCCAAATGTGTTGATACTTACCTCTCTCTTCCCTTAACAGTGGCCTTCTTTCGGGTCCAGCCCTGTCGACGCAGCAGCAGCACTGAGTTTGCTCTTAGAGGGACAGAGAGAACACAGTCCCAGTGTGACACTGTTGATGCTGAGGCAAAGCGAAGGAATAATCTGCCAAGTCAGACTCATCAACAGAGCTCTTCTGGACACCAACTGACCTTTGCGAGTGCTCCAAGAGCAGCAGTAAAAACATGGATTTAGCATTCTCCAGGGATTTCCACACTCCAGATATAGCAACCCATAGACGTGTGTAGGGCCTAAAATAGTCTTGGGGAGATGGAAGCTCAAAGCTGCTGCCACAGCTGGAGAAGCAAAACAAACAGGCACAATGGCCGGTTGGCAGGCCTTCCTCAGCCCCAATGAATGAAACTTCTCCACTGCTCAGAAGGAATTCTATTTACAGCATGAGCCTCAGCGTGTTTACTCTGAAGCAAGTCTTACATGGGGCCCTTCCGGACGTCCTGTTCATTGTGCATTCATGATTGTTTCACTAAGACAAAGAACTTGCAGGCTTTAGATTAGAACTAAGATCTTTATTGAGTTCTGTGTGGGCTCACATGCCAGTCCGCTCTGGGTAAGCCGCAGGGAGAGCACAGGAGTGGTCCTCTCCCTCATTTCCTGTCCCGGTCTATTATTCATGGTGGCATGATGATTTGAACTCAAGGTGATATTGTGGCAGAGGTCTCAAGCCTCAAGAAGCAGGGCAGTCACCAACGCTGTTTGCACCACCGGCAAAAGTTTCAGGGTAGACATACTGCTTTGTTTCCAATCAGTGCCAGCCCCGTAACTTCCTGCTAAAATCCTGCAACTTGTTCCGGGGTATTTTATTTTATTGCCCCACATCTGTTGTGCTACAGTGCAAGAATGTCCCTCCTGACGGCAATAATGCAGCAACACTGGGGTAGCACCACACAAAAGCTAATAAAAGGGGAATGATGCGTCTAAACCACTGAGCCTCTTGGGCTGGCCGACCAGAAGGTTGGCAGTTTGAATCCCCGGGACAGGGTGAGCTCCTGTTGCTCTGTCCTAGCTTCTGCCAACCTAGCAGTTTAAAAGCAGACCAGTGCAAGTAGAAAAATAGGTACTGCTGCGGTGGGAAGGTAAACGGCGTTTCTGTGTGCTCTGGCTTCTGTCACAGTGTCCCGTTGCACCAGAGGCGGTTTAGTCATTATGGCCACATGACCTGGAAAGCTGTCTGTGGACAAATGCTGGCTCCCTCGGCCTGAAAGCGAGACGAGCGCCGCATTCCATAGTTGCCTTTGGACTTAAAACCATACAGGGGTCTTTTACCTTTACCTTACCTAAATCC